GGACTCGTCCAAGCAGTCACTGCAGAGTCGGTAACGACTGAGCGCAGATAAAAAAAAAAAATCTTATTTACGCACCACTTGTCTATAGGCACACAAGCTTGGCCCAGGAAAAACAATTAAAAACATCTATCCAATATCTGCTTTCTTGTGATGGAATGGACTTATGAAGGCCAGGCTCAGGAGATAAGCATATTCTTAGCCCCCAGCTAGGAGCGTGGGAAGTTGAAGAAGATGAGGCTGGCACCTCCCTAAGGAATTCACGGTGTTGTGGCTGGCTGGCTTGGGAACTAGGGTTCAGTCTGGCGAGATTTTCTGTCTGGAGGTTGTAGCTAATAAACACAACAGAACTGTATTTGCACTGTCTCTTGGAGTTCTTTGGGCTGAACCTGACGTTTCTGGTCTTTATGTTTCAAATTAAGATTAAAAACTCATATCCTAAAAAAAATATCTTATGATGGTTTATCAAGGGACGTGAGATAATGTGCAAAGGAGGCTGCATATTATATTGTGCAATAACTTTTGTCTACCAACACCATGCTTTATACTGCTCTGCTGCTATGGTGTTTGTCACCAAAACTTCTACCTGTTTTTGCTAGTCAATCACTCTACGTGCAAGCTAGAATCCACTGAGGTATCAAGTGCCACTGACATTATTCTAACTAACATACAGTGAGTCACTTGAAAACAATGTCGGGGCAGAGCAGATCACATATTATGTCATGAAAACAGCTGACTGGTACATAGCTAAAGCAGAAGAGCTCCATTAACAGATATACTTTTAGGCATTCATTTTAGAATAGCAATTCTTACCAGACAATTTAACATAAATGACATTTGAGTATTAATGACATATTGTAAAACTTGCTGACCAAAACAATCAATTATAATTTGTATCTCACCAAGTCAGTAATTACTGGCTGAATGTGAACACTATTGTGTCTAGCTGTCTCTGCTGTGCACAGACCTGCCTCAGGATTGATATCAGTACACCTATATGCACAAAATCACATTTTAATAAACAGAAGCTATCTTTGATCAACTTAGAAAATAACTGGTCATATATAATTTAGATCAGATACTAAATTTCTATTGCTATTTTTACTAAGTATGCATATCCTTGCAAAAGAAGATAATCCTGTTAGCCATTACTGTATACTGAATGCATAAAATCTCTACCTTGAATTTCACAAGAGAAATGTTTCCACTGATCTCCAGTTTCTTGCTAATAATAAATATAATAGATTTTGTTCATCTAATTTTCTTAATTTGTCAATTTGACTAATGATTTGATCCAGGGATGTGCATGGGGGGGTGGATAGGTCAAGATGACAGGTGCAACCATGCAACTGAAGCCTTGCCCATTTTGTACATTTATCAACATTGCATGTACATATAAAAGGGTAGGGTTTTGATTGCATAATCATGCCTGCCATCTTAGCTTTTCTGACTCCTTCCACAGTTGCCCCTGGCCTGATGAAATACATAATTAAATACAGGTACTCCTTGGTTAATGACTACTCGTTCAGCGACTGTTCAAGTTATGACAGTGCTGAACAAGTGGTACTTAGGACTGGTCCTTGAGTTTCCTGCCATCCCAGCACCTCTGCATTCACGTGATTATGATCTGGGTGCTTGGCTCGCACTTATGATGGTTACACCACCTCATGGTCACATGATCACCATTTACAACCTTCCCTGCCAGCTTCCCATAAACAAAGTCAATGGGGAAGCCAGCAAGGAAGGTCCCAAGGTCCTGGGGTAAGTCTCCTGCGCCTAGCAGCAGCCATCCCAAGTCTAGCTGCGTTTGCACTGTGCCAGAGCCGCATGCATTCTCC